CAGGCAATCCACTCACCTCAGCCTCCCAAAGGCGCGGGATTACAGGCTGAGCCACCGAGCCTGGCTTCTTACATATTTAAATATCAGTCACCTTCCAGGTATTCTCCGTTTGATGCAATAAACCTATCAAGACACTTTTCCTGCTGCTCAAAACAGCTTTTGAACTTGTCGATTTTGATACCTGTTAGTGCTTCTGCCATGTTTTTGTCTCACCTCTTCCACATCAGCAAAACATTTCCCTTTGAGGACTTTTTTCATCCGGGAAACAAAAAAAAAAGTCACTCGGGGCAAGATTGGGTGAATGTGCGGGTGGGACATGGGGGTCATACTGTTTTTGGTTAAAATTCACTGCACACTCAGAGCAGTATGGGCAGATACATGTGTAAATCACCCATCGCGTAATGGGCAAATGCATTGAAAAATCTCCAAAAGAAAGATTCACTGTCGGGCATAGTGGCTCAAGCCTATAATCCCAGCACTTTGGGAGGCCGAAGCAAGAGGATTGCCTGAGCCCGGGGGTAAGAGACAAGCCTGGGCAACTTGGTGAGACCTTGTCTCTACAACATATCAAAAAATTAGTCAGGCATGGTAGCACATGCCTGTAGTTCCGGCTACTTGGAAGGCAGAGGTAGAAAGATCACCTGAGCCCAGCAAGTTGAGCGGAGTGGCCTGAGCATGTCACTGCACTCCAGCCTGGGAGATAGAGTGAGACTCTGACTCAAAAAAAAAAAGATTCACTGAAGCCTCTTAGAACAATGCTGGCTGGCACACGGATGCTGATGGATTTCTAGAACACTTACCATCTTACCTAGCAGGGGAAGTCTGTACCACAAGGGGCTTGCCCTCCAAAAGGTAGTTCCAGTTTTTTTATTGTTGTTGTTCCCCCTTTGTGTAGTAGGATATGGGGAAATGATCATTATAGCTGATGTTGGTTTTTTCCTCTGATAGTATTTATCGGAGGGGCAAACTGATTCAAGAGAAACAATAAGTGAACCAGGAAGGAAAAACAAGGAGAAAAATCACAAATAGGTTTTATTACTTGGGGAGGGAGTGTGGAAATTTAAGTTTTGAAAGATACATGTAACAGTGGGATAATATCAAATGGATGATATTGATTAGAGATTGATTCCATTGTATGAGAGGATGTAGAAGTATCAGGAATGGCTAATAGAAATAGGTTGTAAAGACAATGGATTCAGGGAATATGTATAGCTCACCACAACTCTACAGAGAAGCAGATAAAATAAAAATGAGGAGATTGCAGAATATTTACATTACCGCCAACACAGAAATGAGGTGAGCCAAGAACATAGAGCCTGACCCAGCGAACGAGAGGGTCCGCAGCGGCTGGACTGCCCATGTCTATACCAGTACCATGGTGTCCGGGGCTGGATCCCCAAGCAGATGCAGTAAACAACACGTGGTCTAGTCGACCCCACTTTGAGAGAATGTGTAGGAGGAGCTGGCGTTTGTAATATAGTCCAAGAGAAAGGTGTGTGGGTAATCATTTGCATTAGGTTTAAGAAGTTAACTTGCCCCTACACTCTTAGGAGAGCGTCTGGATGTTATTGTCATCTTGCTTTTCCTACTGTCTCTAGCCAATACCAGGTAGGTAAGAAGTCACACGGTTGTCTACCCTGATTGTCTCCCAGGTACTGGCATCACTGCCTGGCCTGGGAGAATGAGTCACCCCCTCTGCCCTATCTCTACACAGGTTGGCCCACCTGAGTCTCCTGCTAGGTAGATGACTCTCCTTCTCTAACTATTGCCAGAAGAGATGAATCCACACAGAGAAAGGAGGAAAACAGAAGTCAACAAATTGCAAACTATAACCAGGAGTTGAGGCTGGGTGCGGTGGCTCACGCCTGTCATCCCAGCACTTTGGGAGGCTGAGGCCGGAGGATTGCTTGAGGCCAGGAGTTGGAGACCGGCCTGGGCAACACAGGGAGACCCCATCTCTAAAAAAAATAAAAATAAAAAATTAGCCAAGCATGGCGATGCATGCCTGTTGTCCCAGATATTCAAGAGGTTGAGGCAGGAGGATTGCTTGAGACCAGGAATTGGAGACCAGCCTGGGCAACATAGCGAGAGCCTGTCTCTAAAAACACAAAAGCAAAAAAATTAGCTAGGCATGGTGATGCACACCTGTAGCCCTAGTGACTTGAAAGACTGAGGCAGAAGCATTGCTTGAGCCCAGGAGTTCAAGGTTACAGTGAGCTGCAATCATGCCACTGCACCCCAGTCTGGGCGACAGAATGAACTCCTGTCTCCCTTTCACGCTGATCAGGGAGTTGCTCTCACTCACGCTGATTAGGGTGGTACATGAAGTTAGCCTCCACCACTCTGTGGTTCAGGGACTGGGTCCTGCGGTAATCATTGTGGATGGTCTTGTTCTGGTGATCCAATATGGAATTCTCCAGCTTCCAAACCTGTGGTCAACAAGAGGTAAATAAATTATGGAGAGAAGGAGGAACCGGGTAATTTCTTTCTTTTCTATCTTTCTTTTTTTTTGAGTTGGAGTCTCACTCTGTCGTCCAGGCTGGAGTGCAGTGGCACAATCATGGCCACAGCAGCCTCGACCTGCTGGGCTCAGGCGATCCTTCTGCCTCAGCCTTCTAAGTAACTAGAACTACAGATGTGTGCCACCATGTCCGGCTAATTATTATTATTTTTTTGTAGAGATGGAGTCTCGCCAAGTTGCCCAGGTTGGTTTTGAACCCCTGGGCTCAGGCAATCCTCTAGCCTCAGTCTCCCAAAGTGCTGGGATTACAGGCATGAGCCACAGCACCCAACTGGAACTAGGTAATTTCAATGAGTTTAGTTAACAGTGGAACTAGAGCTTAGGTTTATACAACCCCTATAAAGTGATTGTAAGAAAATCTCAAGTCCACAGAAGGTTCTGGGTCTCATGTGCCAAGCATGATTCCAGAACCTGCACATTCATTCATTCTTTCAACAAGTATCTATGTACAATCTCTTTTCATCTTTTTCTATGAGCATTTGGTCAATAGTAGAAAGGAGAGACAAAAGTAAACAGAAATATTTCAAGTGGTAAGCTCAATTTTTGTTTTTTGTTTTTTTAATGTCTGTATTTCATCCACATCCTTGAAAAGCATTTTTGCCACTTGTACAATTCTACATTGGCTAATTATGTCCCTCAGCACTTTGAAAATATGATTCCACTAGCTTCTGACTTTCACTGTTGCTGTGTTGAATGAATTCTCAGTCCAATAGTACTTTTTTCATGATAATTTGTCTTTTCTCTCTGGCAGAATTTTAAGTCTTTTCTTCATCTTTGATGGTTTTACTGTGATGTGTTTAGTGTGGGGTTTTGTGTATATATACAAGTTCTGACAATTAGTTTCACAAACCATCCTAAAAAAGGTGCTACACACCTCATTGCTGAATATCACTATGGTCACTTTTGAAGTTCTCCCTTTGAGAAGCTATGCACCAATGCCAGCACCTAGTCTACTCATCACAGCAATTTTGGAATTCTCTTTCTGGAATGACCATCAGAGCTGCCATCATTATTTCTCGAGGTCTGTCAAGTTTGTGAACTTGTCACTGTGAGCTTATTTTGGCAGCACTGCACAAATAACTGTATTGGAACACCCTCCCATCTCACCTGATCTGGCCCCCCAATGACTTTTTTATTTACCCAAAGATAAAGGAAAGATTGAAAGGAAGATATTTGGTGACATTCAGGACATCAAAGTAATACAACGACAGCTCTGATGGCCATTCCAGAAAAAGAGTTCCAAAACTGCTTTGACAGGTAGACGAGACCCTAGCATCAGTGCATAGCTTCCCAAGGGGAGTACTTCACAGGTAACTGTGGTGATAGTCAGCAATGAGATACGTAGCACTTTTTCTGGGATGAGTTTGTGAACTTAATTGCTGAACCGCATATGTATGTATGTGTATGTATATGTGTATGTGTGTATACCATATACATAAAGAGATATATACGTGTGTGTGTACATATATATACATATGTATAGAGAGACATTCATGGGAATTCTTGAATATATGACTTGATATCTTTAAACTCTTCCTGAAAATTTTCAACCACCATTTTATCAAATCATACCTCTTCCCTATTCTGCCTCTATTCTTCTAAGATTTCAGTTAGACATGTGTTAGACCTCTCCACTATACTCTCTCTGTCTCTTTACTTATTTTTTATATTTTCATCTCTTTTTCTCTTTGTACTGCATTCTAGGTAATTTTCTTAGCTCTGTCTTTCAACTTACTAATTCTTTCTTGATTGAACTGTACCTTCTAACATGCTATTAAGCTCACTCACTGTTTCTGAGGAAGAACGCCAGCTCCGAAGGAAATGCCATCTTTGCCTCATAACCTCAATAACATTTGTCCATTTATTCAATTCAACAAAACTTTATTATATGCCTGTGCTATGCTGGGGGACAAAAGAAGATTGACACAACTCTTTTCCTCAAAGGGCTACAGGCTTTTTAGCATGATAAAGAGTTGACTATGAAGTTCTCCTACTGACATAAAGCCATTTAAGAAGTTAGAATGGACCGGCTCTGTAGCTCAGCCTGTAATCCCAGCACTTTGGGAGGCCAAGGCAAGCAGATTGCCTGAGCCCACAAGCTCGAGACCAGACTGGGCAACTTGGCGAGATGTCGTCTCTACAATAAATCAAAAATTAGCTGAGCATGGTAATGCACACCTGTAGTTCCAGTTACCTAGAAGGCTGAGGCAGAAGGATCGACGGAGCCCAGCAGGTTGATGCTGGGGTGGCCGTGAGCATGCCACTGCACTCCAGCCTGGGCAACAGAGTGAAACGCCAACTCAAAAAAAAAAAAAAAAAAAAAAAAGAAGTTAGAATGTAGCCGGGCACAGTGGTTCATGACTGTAGTCCCACTTTGAGAAGCCGAGTGAGATGATTGCTCAGGAGTTTGAGACCAGCCTGAGCAACATGGTGAGACCTCATCTCTACAATAAATCAAAAAAATTAGCCAGGCATGTTGGCACGTGCCTGTGGTTCCAGTTACTTGGAAGGCTGAAGGGGAAGGATCACCTGAACCCAGCAGGTCGATGCTACGGTAACCGCGAGCATGCTGCTGCACCCCAGCCTGGGTGACAGAGTAATACTCCAACCCCCAAAAATAAAAAGAAGTTAGAATGTAAGCTCCATGGGACAGGGATTTAGTATATCAAGGATCTAGAATAGTGCCTGGCATGAACAGCACTTAACAAATATTTGCCTTCAATAGGAAAATCTCCTGTGACTTGGATCGGACTTCAGTTCTTTTGCTATAATAACTGTGGATTTCCTGATGCTTCTATGTGCCTATTTCTGCCAAGGCACTAGTAAGACCACCCATGGTTATTATCTAGGCGAGGCACAATGGCTGTAGGACCCTGGTTGTTGACATTAGATGAGATTTGGGGAGACTCTTCATAACCAGGCAGTCAAAAGGGGAGACTTTGGCAAAGTAATGCCATGCCTTACCTGAGTCCTGGACAACTTGACATAATCTGCCAGCACAAACCAGTGGACATTCTCAGTACAGGGAGGAGTGGTGAGCGACCCCTGGTAGCTATAGTATTGCTGGAGGTTCTGTGGCAGCATGTCTTGAATGTCAAGGCCAGTCAGAGTTGTGCTTTGTCCTTACCAAGAAGACAGGAGATAAGGGATGTTAGGGACAACTGCTGCCCCTTGGGAGGCCAGCTCAGGCTCAGACCTCACCACCTTCAAATCTCCCGATTTAAGCGAGAACATAGAAGCTGATAATTAGGAAACATTCTCCAGTTCACTGCTTCCTAGAAGGGGGTAAGAGCAAAGACTTTGGGGCTAGACACATTCAGATACCTCCTTCTAGATGAGTGGCCTTGGCCGGGTTCACGCTTGTCTATAAAAAGGGAATGATTGACAGGATTGATATGAGGGCAGAGGGAAAAACTTTTTTATTTTTTTTGAGTTGGAGTCTCACTCTGTCACCCAGACTGGGGTGCAGTGGCCGCTCCCGGCCACCGCAGCCTCAACCTGCTGGGCTCCGGCGATCCTTCCACCTCAGCCTTCCAAGTGGCTGGAACTACAGACGGGTGCTACCATGCCCGGCTGATTTTTGATTTATTGTAGAGATGAGTTCTCGCCAAGTTGCCCAGGTGGGTCTTGAACCCACGGACCCAGGCAATTCACTCACCTCGGCCTCCCAAAGTACTGGGATTACAGGCTGAGCCACCGAGCCCAGCTGGGAAATGTTTATAAAGGGGCTGGCATTGAACCCCTACACAGAAGGACTCCTAAGTATGGTGACATCCTTGTTGTCATTGTTAAGCAGAGGATGCATTTATGATAAATGAAAGAAATGAGGTTTCTGGATGAATGTCCTTAAATAAAGAACAAAATGCCTTGGTTTGGGCTCATTTAGAAGCAGGTGGATAGGCTGGGTACAGTGACTCACACCTGTAATCCCAGCACTTTGGGAGGCAGAAGCAGAAGTATTACTTGAGTCCAGGAGTTTGGGACCAGCCTAAGCAACAGAGCAAATCATCTCTACAAAAATAAAAAAGTTAGCCGGGCATGGTAGTACACACCTGTAGTCCCAGCTACTCAGGAGACTGAGGCAGGGGGATCACCTGAGCCCAGGAGGTCCAGGCTGCCATGAACTCTGAGGTGTGATTGTGCTACTGCGCTCTAGTCTGAGTGAGAAAGTGAGAACCCGTGTCAAAAAAAAAAAAAGAGGTTGATGGATAGAGGTTAGAAAACTAGAATCAGAACCAAGCCTGGGATCCAGGTGCTGGCATCTGCTCCTGAGCTCTTCCTGCCACACCTGGTGGGAACAAAGCCCAGCCACAGGCAGGGTGCAGGGAGAGGACGGTTCCACAAGGTACCTGACAGCCTACAACAGCCGCACCCATTCCTACTCTAGAGAGTTGCTAGTTTTGTTCACGCCAACACTAAGCCCCTGAGCACAGCATGAGACTGTAAAAGCAACTTGCAATTGAGTTAGATTTTGCTTCTCTTTCCCTGAGCACTTTTGCACTTCTTACAGGCAAAGAGTGGCGGGGAGCGGTGGCTCAGGCCTGTCATCCTAGCACTTTGGGAGGGAAGATGAGAGGATTGCCTGAGACCAGGGGTTTGAGACCAGCCTGAGCAACTTGGCAAGATCACGTGTCTACAATAAATCAAAATTAGCCAGGCTTGGGGTGCACACCTGTGGTTTCAGCTACTTGGAAGATTGAGTCAGAAGGATCTCCTGAGCCCAGCAGGTCGAGGCCGTGGTGGCCATGAGCATGCCATCGCACTCCAGCCTGGGTGACAGTGAGACTCTAACTCAAAAAAAAAGACAAAGAGCATAGAGGTTTGACATAAACATTAAATAGGTTTGTTCAACCAAGATCACAATGTCTGGTAGTGTGTAATCCTATGAACAGACAAAAACTTCTAGGTTTTATCATTATTGGAGGATTTCAAAATATAACCCTCCACAGGGCTCTGTGGCATAAATTTATTTTCATAACTCTAATATACTTAAGTGAAGGTCAAGAATTCCAGAATCATGGTACAGGCACTGTGGTAAACAGTGTGGTGAGTCCTCAAAAAATTAAACCTGGCAATTAGTGAAGCATGGAGTCCCAGCTACTTGGAAGGCTGAGGCAGAGGCCCAGCTGGTCGAGTCTGTGGTAGCCATGATGGTGCCACTGCATTCCAGGCTGGGCAACAGAGTGGGACTCTAACTCCAAAAACAAAAAAAACCTCAATGATTATTGTTGGGAGCCAGCCTTGGAGGCCCGCCTGATTGACAAAGTCCAGGTGCGCTGAGGACACCCCCGGCCGCAAAGCGAGTCCGGGCAGCTGAGGCCCTTCTGTCTTCCGTCTTTGCTGTTGATACAGCTGAAGAAATTCTGTGCAGTCGTGGAAGAAGAATATGGCATGTTTATGCGAAGAATCACAGCTAACCTGGAGATGTCATGGTTCATTTTTCCATTTTCCCACTATGCCGCTTGGCCTTTTCTAACATATGCAAGGGTTAAACTCTGAAGCACATCATGAATGCTTTCTTTGACTTGGTTATAAGTTACTAGATATTACTTAAGTAATAAATGATATAAGTATATTCACTCCTTATTTGATTTAGGATTGTGCAGTTTAGTGTTTAGACATAAGGTTCTTTAGAAGCACAAGTTTATAGTAAGTTTATTATGAGCTCATTATAAGTTCTAACACTTATCTAGGAGTTATGTAGGTGATTTATAACACTGTTTTCACTGACTTAGGATAAAGATTATCTTTAAGGTTTTTACCTAATTCAATAGTTAAAACTCTAAGTTAACATTTATAAAGTGGGTTTTCACTGAACTCATAATATACTAATCAGACGCTTTTATGACAACTTAGCTAAAGACAGAAAACAACCTTGGGGCCTGGGAAACATTACTAAAAACTTCTTTTGAGTTTTCTTTAGAAACAGGCACTGCAGGATAAGAGAAAAGTAACGAAGACACCTGGACAACAAAGGCGATTACAGAACTCTGCAGGACATAAAGCCCTAGAAGGAAGACTACTGCTAAACTTTCTGGCGACAGTTCAAGGACTATAATTCGGGACTTTGGACTAAAACTATCATCTTTGGCCTTATGAATAAGACTCATTGTCTGAATGTTTACAGGGTTCTTGGCTTGTTTATTGCTAAGACCACTAGATAGTGGTAACTTGTACAGCATATGTACGTGAAGGAATTTTCTTTGTCTTGCCCCTTTACGAATGGTATAAAAGCTCTGTGTTAACTAACATTAAATTGTCATCTGTTCAAGAAGCAGGTGTCCGGTATATGATTTTCATCTTTTGCCTATCCGTCTCTCCTTCAGGAGATCTCACGACCTTGCGGGACAGGACCCCACAGATTATATGATCTAGCAATCCCACTTCCAGATATAAGCCCAAAAGAATTGAAAGCAGAGACTTAGATATTTGTACACTCAGGTTCATAGTAGTATTGTTCACAATAGCCAAAAGGTGGAAGCAACCCAAATGTCTACAACAGATAAAGGGTTAAACAAAATGTGACATATACATATGATAAAATATTACTCAGCCTTTAAAAGGAATGAAATTCTGATGCTTGCTACAACATGGATAAATCTGAAAGGCATTATGCTAAGTAAAATAATCCAGAGAAAAAAGGACAAATATTGTATGATCCTACTTATATGAGGTACCCAGAATCGTCATTTATAAAAACATAAACAGTGGGTACTAGAAGCTGGAAGAAGGGGAGAATGAGAAGATATTGTTGAATGGTACAGAGTTTCAGTTTAGGAAGAAGAAAAGAATTCTGGCAATGGATGGTGGTGATGGTTGTCAGTGTGAATTGTACTTAATGCCACTGAATGGTACATTTTCAAATGGTTTAGCTGGGCTCGGTGGCTCAGCCTGTAATCCCGCGCCTTGGGAGGATTGCCTGAGCCTGTAGGTTCGAGACCCTCTTGGGCAACTTGGCGAGACCTCATCTCTACAATCAATCAAAAAAAATTAGCCGGGTGTGGTAGCGCGTGCCTGTAGTTCCAGCTACTTGGAAGGCTGAGGCGGAAGGATCGCCGGAGCCCAGCAGGTCGAGGCTGCAGTGGCCGGGAGTGGCCACTGCACTCCAGTCTGGGTGACAGAGTGAGACTCCAACTCAATAAATAAATAAATAAATAAATAAATAAAATGGTTTGAGTGGTAAATTTTATATTATGTATATTTAACCACAACTTAAGAAAAAAGAATTTAAGAACCATCTGTAAGTTTAGCAAATTGGAGGTTTTCTAGATAGAACATACCTAAGGTTGCTAGGCCCAAACTTGGAGAGTGGTCATTTGTAATTAAAGAACTTTTGGATTACTAAAGGTATCCTCTGGGTATTCCGCTGACACAGACTCATTCCTATCATATGTCTGACACGTATTTCATGCTAGCACAGGCCAGGAGTGTTGCTAGTGCTGGGGATACAACATGCACAAGACAAAGTCCTTGCCCATATGCATTCTAGTTATGGGACACATAATAAACAAGTAAATAAAATACAGACAGTGATCAGCACTAAGCAAAAAATTAAAGTAAGGTGACATGTAATGTTTTGGAGATAAAAACAACAGGACACATCGATGGGTTAATGAAAAGAGGAAAACCAAGGATGATTCCGAGATTTCTGGCTTAAACAACGGGATGGATCATGATGTTCTTTGCTGAGATGGGCAAGAAGCGAAGAGAGTCCGTTTAGGAACAAGCCCGGAAGGCAGAGGGAATAGTCATGTTTTGGCTGGCTTATGAGGTATGACAATTAGGTTTGCCAACCATCCTAGAAAAAGTGCTGCATATCACTATGGTCACCTTCAAAGTATTCCCCTTAGGAAGCTGTGCGCCAATGCCAGTGCCTAGTCCATTCATCAAAGCAATTTTGGAACTCTTTTTCTGGAATGGCCATCAGAGCTGTCATCGTTACTTGTTGAGGTCTGACAATTAAGTTTGCAAACTTGCCCCCGCGTGCTTACATTGGCAGCACTGTACAAAGAGCTGTATTGGAACACCCTCCCCAATCACCTGATCTGGCCCCTAGTGATTTTTTTCTTTACCCAAAGATAAAGGAAATATTGAAAGGAAGACATTTGATGACATTCAGGACATCAAGGGTAATACAATGACAGCTCTGGAGGCCATTCCTGAAAAAGAGTTCCAGAATTGCTTTGACAGACGGACTAGGTGCTGACATCAGTGCACAGCTTCCCAAGGGGAGTACTTCAAAGTCGACTGCAGCGCTATCCAGCAGTGAGGTATGTAGCACTTTTTCTAGGATGAGTTCACGAGTAATTGTCGGGCCCTGTACGTTTTAGATCCATGTGATGATATCAAGTAATCAGCTGAATAAAGGAATCGGAAGATCAGAGAGAGGCAGGTGCTGTGGGTTATACTGATCAAAAGGGGAATTCGTTGAGTTGGAGGAGGAAGTGTACCTGGGTCAGTTAGTTGAAACAGAATCTGAGGTCAAGGAATTCAAGAAAACACCTTAGTCGCCCCAGGCCTGGGATTTCTCCTGCAGGCTTTGTTCCTGGTCAGTAAAGCAGGCAGCCAGTTCTTGGCAATCGGCTACCCTCCCCACCAGCATCACCCTTCCCCTGTCTCCCATTCCTACTTCACACTCATGCTCACTCCTCTTCCCTTCTGCAGTCGCGGCTGACTTCCCTTACCTGGATACTTGATATTGGCCAAATGAGAAATGAAGTTGCTGTAATACGTGTTTTCAGCGTGATCCTTCACCTGTAGGAGAAACCCAGAGCAGTCAACATCAGTGAGGAAGGGACCTCCGGCACCATCTCCACTAATCCAGTTGCTTGGTTTTCCAGCTGACTGGGTAGAGCCAAGAGAGTAAGGAGATGCAGCCCATGCCCAGATGTGTTGGGGGTGGGGTCCAATCTGGCTATTCTTTGCTACCAACTGTCCTGGCTCATCAGTCTCTTCAAGGGAGGCACCATCTGAAGCATCTTGACAGCCCCCAGGGAAAGAAGCTTCTTGGCAACTGGTGATGCCTTCATCAGGCAACCCTTTCGCCTCTGTCTCCCAAAGTGCTGGGATTACAGGTGTAAGCCACTACACAGAGCTTGGTGTCATTTTCTTTCAGTCAGAAGGACTGCTTTTACTATTTCTTTTAGGACAGATTTGATAGCAATAATCTTGGTTTATCTGGGGAGTCTTTATTTTGCCTTAATTTTTGAAGGATGGCTTACTTGGATATAGAATTCTTGATTGACAATCATTCTACTGCCTTCTGATGACTTGAGAAATCTCTTGTTGCTTTCAGCAGTTTGATTTTAATGTGTCTAGGTGTTTATCAGACTCAGAGTCTGTTGAGTTTCCTGGATTGATAAATTAATATTTTTCATCAAACTTGAGAAATTTGGCCACTGTTTCTTCCAACATTTTTTCTGTCACTTTCTTTCTCCTCTTCTGGGATTCCCATTACATATATGTTGCTATGGTTGATTTTGTCTCCATGAATCTGCAAGGTTCTGTTCATTTTTCGTCCATCTTTTTTCTCTGTTCTTCAGATTGGATAATTTTTTTACTCCATCTTCAAAAGTACTGACTGTTTTTTCTACTGCCGCAAATCTGCTTTGGGCCCATTTTTCATTATGTTTATCGTACTTTTAAATTCTAGACTTTATTTGGTGAATTTTTATAGTTTCTGTCTTTCTTTTGAGCTTTCCTTTTTGAGTCATTGTCATCATATTTTTCTTTAATTCTTTGAACATAATTTGGTTTTGGTTTTGTTTTGAGACAGGGTCTTGTTCAGTTGCCCAAGCTGGTTCAAACTTCTGGCCTCAAACAATCCTACTACCTCAGCCTCTTAAAGTATTGGGATTACAGAAGTGAACTACCATGCCTGGTCTTTTTAGAATTATTTAAATACATTTATGATAGTTGTTTAAAGTCTTATCTGCCTAATCACTCTGGATCCCCTCAGATCACTTTCTTTGATTGGGTTTTTCTTCTCCTAAATATGGATCACATTTTTCTATTTATTTGCATGCTCAACTTTTTTGTTGAAAACTGGACATTTTATTTTCATTTATTTAATTTTAATTTTTTTTTGAGTCAGAGTCTTACTCTGTCTCCCAGGCTAGAGTGCAGTAGTACAATCACAGCTACTGCAACCTCAAATTGCTGGGCTCAGGAGATCTTTCCACCTCAGCCTTCCAAGTTACTGGAACTACAGGCATGTATCACCACACCAGGCTAATTTTTTGATTTATTGTAGAGACGAGGTCTCGCCAAGTTACCCAGGCTGGTCTCAAACCCCTGGGCTCAGGCAATCCTCTTATCTTCACCTCCCAAAATGCTGGGATTACAGGTGTAAGCCACCATACCTGGCAAAAACAGGACATTAGATAATATGTGGCAGCAAATCTGGATTCTGGTTTTTAAAAATCACCCTGAGGGTTTTTTCGTTCAGGTGTTTGTTTCATAACTTGCCTGGACCTAATTTGCAAGATACATCTCCCCAGCAGTATGTAGCAGCTGATATCTCTGCTGAGTTTTGAAATCTTCTTTTTATTTTTTAGCCTGAATTCCTAGGAGCCCCCTAGAGTTAGCATAGCTTTTGTGACCAGTCAGTGATTTGGGCAACAGTTGTATCTTAACCCTCTGAGCTTTTAAGACTTGCATCTTCTGCTGACGGAGCTCTGTGTGGGTTGAGAAGCACGTTCAACGTTGAGCCAGTGATCACGCCGGACTCAGCGTTTACTTTCCATCAGGCCCTTTTGGAAAGTTTACCTAACCCTTCTCTGTCGCTCTCATTTCCAGGACCTGTACCACCAAATTTCTGACTGGTCTTCCACTTACCACTCACTCTAACTGCAACCTCAGACAACCAGAGCAGCAAGTTTCCCCAGTTTGCTTTCCACCTTTTCTGTCATGGTAACGTCCCTTACCAATAGTGTTCCTGGGCATTAGTTTTCAATGTCTACCTCAAAACAAATCAGCCTCCCTAGCCAGTGAACTTGCTGGTTCTCCTGACCAGTCCTGTCCTAATAAAGTCACCTTGCTGACCAAAGTAGGGGCTGGGGTTGGGAACACCTCTAGGTAAGAAGTCCACAGACACTCATTGCTCTTACTCAAAATTCTAGCCAGTTTTCATGAATAAACAGCTCCATTTGTTGTTTGCCTTTGGTCCACTTCTAGAGCACTGAAGTTGGTTTTTTTGGTTGTTGTTTTGTTTGTTTTACCATTTTACTAAATTAACGCTTGTTTTTTGAAGGATTGGACTCCTGACCACTTCTAGCTATCTAGCCCTGAGTCCCGCCCTCTAGACTTCTTAAAAATGCAGGAATCATTGCTTTTGTTAAGCTCTGGCCAGGTCATGTGTTCATTGAGCTATGGCTGCCATGCTCTTACCTAAGCTTTGATCCCCTCCCCTACCTTGGGGAGGTGAATCTCCTCTCTCTCTCTCTCTCTCTCTCTCTCTCTTCAATTTACTTTCTAAATAAACTACATTTCCAATCTAAAAAAAAAGAAATGCCTGGCTTTGCCTCTGTCTAGTGGGTTTCAGGCTTCCCCTTGCCTTTCAGACAGTTTGTGCCTAGTCAATTCCTCTGTGATCTCAGGTTTTCTTTTCTCTCTCTTTTCTTTTTCACATAGTCAAGACTCTACAACAACTCTTTTAAGTCAGCTTGTCCAAGTTACTCAAGATCCCCAGGGCAGATAACACAGAAGGAACACAGTGACTGTGAGCCAGGGCTAAAGAAAAGTTGATCTCCCATCGAGTCAGCATTTCCAAGAATTGTGAGCTTGGGAAAGGATGAAGAGGGACAGTAAGGAAAGCCCTTCATTTAGACTTCTATCTTGTTTGGACATCAATCCATAGCAAGCGAGTTTCTACCTACCTCCACAAAGGCTGCCAGTACAGCCAAACCATCTGGTGCATCTTTGGCTATGTCGTAGTTCTGGTATTTAGAATTGTAGTGAACAACGTGAATCTGTGGGAACAAGACAGGATAAGTTAAGGGAAGCTCATGTAAACTTCAAATGCTGAAGGTCTCCAGGGAAGGAAAAAAGGACAGAAAGATGCTCCTTCTGAGGCCTCAGGCTGTCTCACATGAACGACTCTGACCTCCATCTCCTTCCTTCTGGGCTGCAATTTTTATCTATCAAGACCCAGAAATTTCCCCAAGAATGGACAGAGCAGGAGTGGGATTCTGGGAAGATGGACGTTCTGGGGCATTTCTCTGCACCCCCTCTCTCCAGGAAGATAAGCTGGGGGAGTCTGAAGGGACCATATGGGGACACTTGGTTCTCCTGAGGTATCTGGGGGAGTGAGGGAGCAGAGGGTCCATGAGCCCTCTTGCCTCAGGAAACCTGTAGTCATCCTAAGGATGGATCCAGGCCAAAAAAAAAAGCTAACACAGAAAGCCAGGTGAAGGCCAGGTGCTGTGGCTCATGCCTGTAATCCTGGCACTCTGAGAGCCAAGGAAAGAGTATCACTTGAGCCCAGGAGTTCACAACCAGCCTAGGCAATATAACAAGACCTCGTCTCTACAAAAAATTAACCAGGCATGGTGGCACATGCCTGTAGTCCCAGCTACTCAGGAGGCTGAGGAGGGAGGATCACCTGATCCCAGGAGGTTGAGGCTGCAGTAAGCTGTGATCATGCCAGTTCACTCCAGCCTGGATGACAGAGTGAGACCCCAGCTCAAAAGAAAAGAAAAGAAAAAACATCCGTCGGAAACAAAGGAAGACTTGGCACACCCTGTGAGCTGTGAACTCCTGCCAAGCCATGAGCTCTGTGAGGTTGGGACCCCTCCTTGTCCTCCCAGCACAAAGCAATGATCTGTCAATGATTGCTGAGCAAATGAAGAATAAACTCAACCTCAGGGAGACTTAACTGGCATCATCGTATATAGTCTTTTCAGTTGTTTTAATAAGAAAAGTGACCATAGGGTTTAAAGGAAGGAGGATCCAGCCAGGGTCCTCACGTACCTCGATGACATGTCTGATCCCATCGACTGTGTGCTCGGAGCCACTGATCTCCGAGGAAGCGCCACCCCAGTGAAGGTGCATCTGCTGAGCTATGTACACAGTACCATCGGCGGCTGTCATGAGCATGGTCGGGGGCAGGCTGATCTGCACTGGAAGAGACAAGGGGGGCAGAGAGCAGGGCAGGTGGGCATAAAGGGATCGGGCCTACAGGCACGCAGCTTCCCTGGTCACCTCCCACCAGCCTGCATCCAAGACAAGTCTGAACTATAGACTGACTTCGAACAGCACGAGCAGGGTCACCCAAGATAAGGGAGTCTTTGCATGCAGGGCACAGAGTAAGGTCAGGATGGGGGCCAGGCCACGGAGTCAGCCAGGTTAGGCAGGCACCTCTCCCAAGGCACACACCTTCCCGCCCAGAACCAGTTGGGTTCCACAGGGTGGCAGGTCAGCTTGTTGGCCCTGGAGGAAGGGAAGGTCCTCAAAAATATGGCCAATGGTTGGCCGGGCATGGTGGCTTATGCCTGTAAATCCAACATTTTGGGAGGCCAGGGCGGGAGGATTGCTTGAGCCCAGAAGGTCAAGACCAGCCTGGGCAACATAGCGAGATCTCATCTCTCCAAAAAATCAAAAAATTAGCCAGGTATGGTGGCACATGCTTGTAATCCCAGCTACTTGAGAGCCTGAGGTAGAAGAATCACCTGAACCCAGGAGGTTGAGGCTGCGGTGAGCTGTGATCATGCTATTGCATTCCAGCCTGGGTGCTAGGGTGAGACTCCAACTTAAATAT